GTCAGCCCAGCTCTGCCAAAAGGGGACCCTATCCATATTTTGTCTTCTGTAACAACATTGTCAGTTATTTTTTAAATGTGTGGATGTTTTTTCTCTTCAATCAAGCCTTTAATCAACTTGCTCCTAAGCTTGTTGTTTGGCCATCTGAATCCGTTAATCAGTTAATCCTTGAAGACTCCCAAGACACAAAGGTTGCGGACCTAGAATGTAATGATGTGACCTTTGGGTTCTGGACTCTGCCCCAGACACCTAGTGTACAAGTTTGTTAGCCACAGAACGCATAACAGGTTCAGGGCCATGACTCAGCCTCTGCTGTGTTCCAGTCCCTGAAGACTCCATTGGACATATGCCCATGGAGGAGGTTAAGACATGCTGGATTGGGACCTTCAGGCACTGGGCTCTGCATATGGTGCTTTCAAGACTTGTGGGTACTGAGTCAGTTAGCCACAAAGCATTCTCCAGGTTTTAGAGCCCCTGGCATTACTCAGTCTCTAATGGCTACCTCTGATGCAAATTTTAAGGTATTTGTTATATGTGATAATCGCTGCAATTTGGCACTTTCCTGGCCTGGGTGGTCTCTGTTCATTAGCTGCCGAGTGTTTGTCACTGTTACAGCTTGTATGTGATGCAGAAGTAATATTTGTAGGGCTGTGAAAGTTAACGATTAATCGTTAAACTTTTTGATCGATTAAAATTATTTTGATCAAAAATGAAAAGACTCACCTCTCCGCTGGCTTCCGGGAGTCCTGTTGGAGATCCGGTGACGTCACGGACATAGACGTCACCGGACTCCTCCCCATGTTTCTCCGTCGGCTGTACTCTAACTCTATAGATGTCTGTTTGGGAGTGGCCTTCATTACTGCAAATGGCTTAAGTGCTACTTGTACAGTACACTTCTGCCTTTTATCCAGATCTAGAGCACTGGATCCTCTGTAAGTGACCATGTTCTATTTAACTCAATATTGAGAAAATTATGACGTAGCATCAGCATGTTTTGCCTCACAACTTAGGTGCTAAGGTTTGATGTCAAACTCGTTTCTGCTTTTTTCCTGGAGTAGTGCCATCTGGTGAGTCCTTAACTCTGATTTCACTCGCAGCATAGAGCACTGCATAAGACCTTTCCCTACTGCCCTTGGAGCAATAGATTTTGCATTATCTGTTCTTGGGGACATAACCACAGAGCCCTCTGCAAGTTACTCAGTCTCTAATTCTTTCTTCTGTCAGTTTGCCTCTGATCATGGCAATAATCCCTGCTATTAAACAATTAACTTGACATTCTGACACTTCAGCCTTGTCGGCATTATATCAGTTAAATGTAGAATATGTTTGAGTCCCAGACCAAGAATGCATTTTTGAGCTCAGTTTCTGAATTCTCATTGTGGTGTATGTTTCTACATCACTCTCTATACGCTCTGATTTCTTAGCTCTGCTAATTACACCTGTATCTAACCTTTGGTTATGAGGCATATATTAGGTTCTGACCCCCCTACGAGTTCTGAACTCTATATAGTAGTCCTTCCCTCTGTATAATTATTTCTGCAGGGAAGCATTTTCAACCCTCTATGCACTGTATCTTAACTTTTCTTCCCATGTTTTTCAACATGGAACAGTTGAAGCTAGTCCCTTTTCTTGCACTTATATTGGAGGTTCACATATTTTTTGAGAAGGTGATGGTTCAGTGATTAGGTTGAGGTGGGATAGGCTTCCCTGAAGAGATGAGTCTTTAGGGAACGCCTAAAGGCAGTCAAGGTGGGAAATAGACGGGCAGGTTGGGGTAAAGAGCTATGGAAAAGTCCTGCAGGCGAGTATGGGAGGATTTCACAAGGGAGCTGGAAAGCAGGAGGTCTTGGGATGAGCGGAGTGGACGGTTAGGGTGATATTTTGAGACTAGGTTTGAGATATAGCCGGGGGCAGAGTTGTTGATGGCTTTGTAAGTGGTTGTTAATATTTTGAATTTTATCCTTTGGGCGAGTGGAAGCCAGTGTAGGGATTGACAGAGGGGGGTTGCAGACACTGAGCGGTTGGTCAGGTGGATGAGTCTAGCAGCTGCATTCATGATAGACTGAAGGGGGGATAGCCTGTGTAGTGGAAGGCCAATGAGGAGGGAGTTGCAATAGTCAAGACGAGAGATAACAAGCGAGTGGATGAGTAATTTGGAGATGTTACAAAGGTAAAGGCGGCAAGATTTGGATGTGGGGAAGAAAGGTGAGGTCCCAGTCAAGGATGACACCTAGGACCTTGGCATGGGGGAGGGATGGATAGTTGTGTTATAAATCTCAACTGAAATGTTGGGGGAAGGTGCATGGGCGGGAGGAAATATCAAGAGCTCAGTTTTTGAAAGGTTGAGTTTTAAGAAGTGTGGTGACTTCCAGACTGATTGGCATAGAGATGGTATTGGAAGCCATGTGAGGTTATTACCTGACCAAGAGAGGTGGTGTAGATAGAGCAGAGAAGGGGTCCAAGGACAGAGCTTGGGGGACCCCTACAGAAAGAGGAAGAGGAGGAGTTAGATTTGTAGGTGACACTAAAGGAGCGCATAGGTAGGAGAACCATGAGAGAGCAGAATCTTGTAGGCCAAGCGAGTGGATTTTCTTGAGGAGCAGCGGGTGGTCAACAGTGTCAAAAGCAGCAGAAAGGTCTAATAGCAAGAGTAAGGAATAGTGGCTGTTGTTTTTAGCAGTTAGTAAATCGTGCTTGGTTCTCATGCTGCGTGGACAACATAAGCTGTGATTTGGTATTGTAGGTTTGAGTTTAGGCTAAGAATCAAATAAAGTTTAAGTGGTTATAATGTAGATTTGTATCTGCACAGAGAGGTATCACTGTATATAAAAGTTGGCTTTTACCTGGTTACATAAATGCTGCATTTCTTCTCATTTCTAATCCTTTTATTAAACTTGTAGAAATGTGCAACTGGAAGGGTTGACTGAGCCTAACAATTAGGGATGCACAAAGACCAGTGCCGATTTCACAAGAACTACCAGAGTTGCAGCTGGGACCTGGCTCTGGCGCTCCCCCACTGTCCTAAAATCGTTAATCTGTATTCTTTTGGAAAAACTGTCACATGACAAGCAAAAAGGTATCAGTAATTGATATCTGTGAGGACAAGTATTGATACTTGGTCTGGAAAAAATGGTATTGGTGCATCCCGAATATACTGTATATAAAACAAATCCTACATTAAAACAGGTATGCACAAATCCCAGGAGTCCCATAGCCAGTGCTCCTTAAAAATGGCAACTGCCTCCGTACTTGGTACAAGTGCCCATACTTTTCCAGGTAATTGACTAAGTATGGTAGTTGGTATCTGTGCATCCCTACTAACAATTTTTTCTTCCTCCTGGAATTTAGTTTTAACATGTCATTTGTTTTTCCATTTGTTTTTATTTCTGGGAATGTTGTCTAACTTTAGTGATGGAGGTCTTCGGTTTGGAGAAATGGAACGGGACTGTCAAATAGCCCATGGTGCCGCACAGTTTCTTCGTGAAAGATTGTTTGAAGCTTCTGACCCTTACCAAGTGCATGTTTGTAATCTCTGTGGATTGATGGCAATTGCAAACACCAGAACTCACACCTATGAATGCAGAGGATGCCGAAACAAAACACAAGTAAAGTATCAATATATCTTAATCTTTGTAAACTTTGTTAAAAAATCTCCCTTTTTTAAAATACTAGCACACATTTTGTTAACATTTCTTGTGAAACAAAGTACTGTTTATAAGCCAGTGAATACAATGTTCAACAAATATTTACTGGAAAAAGTATGCACTAATTTAAAACGCGTGCATTAAGAAGATTGTCAGAAAAACCACATGTTGGTATTCTATAGTAGTGGTGACCTGATATATGAGCTGCACAAAGAAGATTGGACCCAAAGCTAAGTGAAAAACAGGTTTCTTGAGAACACCACACAGGTGAAAACAACAAATACACAGCAATGCCAGCAAACACATGTGCAAAACACCTACCTCTCTGCAGCATGCAGGGGGGTACAGGAAGCAGCTGGTAGAAGGGATGGGAATGCATTCAGGATGGGGTCAGGTACACAAAGAGCAGGTATAGCAGCAGGATCCTGTGCCACTCCTTGCTCTAAGTATTTTTAGGGAAATGTACAGTTCTGCACAATTTGCTGCTGATAAAATGTGTTCAGTGTACACTGTTGACAGTGTTGTCCATTGGCACAGTGATATTGTTCCAAGCTGCCTATTTATTTAAATGCACTACAAGATTTTCACTGGCCCCTCCCCTGTTGAACTGGTAAAAGGACCATCTGGGTCTCTTCCTTTCTACCTACCTACCTACTGTTTTTACCTAAATGGATATGTTTACCATTGAAATGTTTAAATTGTGTCTATGTAAACTTCATAAGGAAGTATTTGATATTTACAGATTTTTATAACATTTTACAAGGATATTGAAAATCAACAATAGGTTGCAATAAACCAGGTTTGCAAACAGGAACACAAAGTGTTAGTCTTTTACATTCAACTCAGCAAAGTTGTGTGTATTGTCAGCATGAGGATCAGTAGGCATCCCAAAGTAAAGTACAATCAGTGTTGACTGGTACAAAGTGTCTGGTATAACTAAAACAAATGGGAGAAAAGGAGACAATTGAAAAATATGGAAGACGGGGGGCGGAATAGATAAAGCGGGGAAGAAAAAAAAAGAAGTGAAGAAAAGTGGAACAAAGAAGCAAAGAAAGAAAAAAAAAAAAAAAGATCTGGATCCCATCACCTACCCCTGCCCAAAAAGGCAAAGGAAAGCAAGATTAAGGGAATGGGGAGATGAGAGTCCATTAGCTTCAAGGGGGACCACACCTTGTTTAAACCCAGGACAGGTAGACCTAATAAGCAATGGACAGGGTTTAATGACTTTTGAGTCATTGGATCTGTTTCCAAAACACACATATCCCAGGGCAGTGATGGCGAACGTTTCTGAACCAAAGTGCCCAAACTGCGACGCAAAATCAATTTATTTATCTCAAAGTGCCAACACTGAAAATAAGTTTAGTATTGTGTTGCAGTTTGGATGCTGGGGTTTAAAAAAACATTCAGCATCACTGCCTCAGGCAAAATAGGGAAACGCATATTCAAATATTTATACACTCCAATAAAACACACACGTAATGAAACAGACTTGTTACTTTGTACCAGTCAACACTGATTAGAATCCTCTCTTACATGGTCAGTGTATAATCCCCAATTACATTGGTGATTAATGCAGAATCTCCCCTTACATTGGTAGTCATTGTAAATTTCCCCCTTACATTGGTGGTCTGTGTAGTTTTCCCCCTTGCATTTGTGTCCAATATAGAAACCCTCATTATATGCAGGTAAAAAAAATTCTAGCTACACCGGATTTTTGCCACCTAAAAATTCTTCCACCTATCGGTAACAGGTATCGCAGTACTCGGTAGAGCAGTCAGTGTCTCAAGATGTTTTTTGAATATTGCCAATGTGTTTGCTGTATATTTGGTGTTTATCACTGTGTTCCCTGCCAGAACTTTGGGTTGCTGCACTTTAAATTTAGGTTGTATGGACTAGGGCTTGCCATTCACATGTAAATTTCTATTGTTTAGCCCTTTGGGCTGAATAAGAGAAGTCACCCGATTTTTCCCAACCACCCTGAAGAGAGCAGATGGAGGAATCTCCCCTGCTGGCTATTCTATTCAGACAACTGGCACCCCCACAGCTTTTAGAATACCAGAACCGTAACTGCATTTGATTGGATTTAGTCACTGTTCGGCTGATTTTTATTTTTCACCCAGCTACTTCAGTTTTGAAACCTGACTTTTGTTTAGCCATGTGGTACTGATGGGGCTTGCTGGACGCACAGGAAAAAGTGTCCCTGGAAAAGTTTTTGAAATGTTGGCAACTATGACAAAGGTGGCTCTATAGGACCCTGTAAGGGAAAGGCGCCACCGTAAAACATGATATCAGGGCCAGTGCTCAGGGGACCAGCTGACTGCAGGAAGGTAAAACTTTTAAACATCAGGGAGGGCTCAAAGCTTTTGACACAGCACCACATAAATGTTTAAAACACAAACCAAAATCTATGGGCATAGTTGAAATGGTGTGTATATGGATAGAGAACTGGCTACAGGAACGTGTCCAGAGAGTATTGATAAATGGCTCCTTTTTAGATTGGTCTACGTTCGAGAGTGGCGTGGCCCAGGGTTCTGTGCTAGGCCCCATTCTATTCAACCTGTTTATTAACGACATTGGGGAGGGCGTCCATAGCCATGTTTCTGTGTTTGCTGATGATACTAAAATTGAGAGGGTATTAGACACGGACTTAGACACTATAGCATTGCAGAAGGATCAGGATAAAATAGGAGAGTGGGCAACTATATGGCAGATGAGGTTTAATGATGAAAAATGTAAAGTAATGCACTTTGGGGTTAAAAACAGGCAAGAGGAATACATATTACTGGGTACTCCACTAGGGAAGCCAGATAGTGAAAAAGATTTGGGGGTCATAGTAGACCACAGATTGAACAATAGCTTGCAATGCCAGGCTGCAGCAAACAAAGCTAGGAGAGTACTGTCTTGTAGTAAAAAGGGAATGTATTGTAGAGACAATAGTGATAATTTTGCCACTTTGTAGATTACTGGTTCGGCCTCTTCTGGAGTATGCGGTCCAGTTTTGGTCACTAATCCATAGAAAAGATGTCCTTGAGCTGGAGAGGGTCAGGAGAAGGGCAAATAAACTAAGGGGCTGGAGGACCAAAGCTATGAGACAAGGTTACTAAATTTAAACTTGTTCACGCTAGGAGTGAGGAGATTAAGAGGGAACATGATTTTGATGTACAAAATGTTTAGTGGTGATGGCAACATCGGCAATAAACGTTTTACAGTAAACTCCATAACAATGACTAGAGGCCACCACCGAAAATTGGTGGAGACGAGATTTAACCACAAGGGGCGTAGGGGATTTTTTTTTCAATCAGAGCGGTTAAAGTCTGGAACTCGCTGCCACCAGAAGTGGTATCAGCCGAGTGTTCCATCATTCAAGCAGCATTTAGATACCTTTCTCAGGAACCGTAACATACAGGGGTACAGGTACACTTAAAAACAAGGTCACACAGGGACTCGTGTATACACATGCACAATCACACACAGACACGCAAAGGTTGAACTTGATGGACCTGTGTTTTTATTCAACCTCAAATACTATGTAACTGCATAGCATTTTCACAATATTTTATGAATGAACCCTGGATTTTTTTTTCTTGTATAGTGTTATTTATCTAATAGGAAGTGTTCCAGTTATAAATTAGTATAATTAACAGTAACAGTGAGGTTGTGAAATTCTACCCCATAATTTGGGGAGGAGGTCATTTAGCAGTATTCATACTGTGTGGCTGCAGAGTTTAGTTAAGCATTTATATCAATAACAGTAGTGCAGGTTTGAATAGAAACACTGAAAATTAGAAAGTTAGGAAATTTGCAACTGTGCCTAAACAAAAAGTAAAAAAGCAGAACGCAGGCCTCCTTTACCTTCAGTTTTTATTTTCCGGTATTAAAAGGAGCTTGATCTAATTCCAGGAAAGTCGCATAATTATAGCGGGGGTCATTTTACACCCCAATAATATGGAGCAATATGTACATGTGTATATATGATGAGTATACAATAGTACTATTCTGTATTGAATCTGACATTTTAGTTTTTTCCTTTTTAGATATCCCTTGTCCGGATGCCTTATGCCTGCAAACTTCTTTTTCAGGAGCTTATGTCGATGAGTATTGCTCCACGCATGATGACATCCTAGTTTAACTTTTTGTTATATGTAAAAAAAATTAACTTTGTTATAGGATTAATAGGCAGGTTCTAATAGATTCCACTACATCAACCCAAGCCAAATAATTATTTCAATGGGCATTATTGAAGTTTGTAATGCATTTTTTGTTTTACAGGACATGAAGTGTAGATTAAAAAGTGGAACTCCAGTTATATTTTTTGTTTCTTTCATATAGAGTAGGTAGAACATCTGTAATGTTCGTACTGCTGCCCGCATGACAGTTTTGCAGACTTCAGCTCACTTTCTTTCCTACAAAAGCGCAGGAAAAATTTAAGTAACGGGGACCCAGAAATAAAACTGATATAGAATGACTCTTTTGCCCATTTTATGCAAAACCAAAAATGTTTTTTTTCAATTAGGGCTTTACTTATTAGGGTCTATGTATAATGTGCAGACCAGTCAGGAACAATTTGCTTTTCCTTCCTAGCAACCTATGGGTTTAGTCACAGGAAAAGGTGCAGACTATTAAATGTTAAGAGATATTCGTAATGTTCCTCCAACAGGCACTTAATACATATAAGGTCTTTTTGCGTTTTAATAAACCGCTATATTTTTTTAAAGGATTCAACACTTGTCTTCTGTCTTATCCTTCCTGCTGTCACTGTGTAGCATTTTAGATTGTGCTTTTTTGGCTCAATAAACAATTTGAAATAAAGTGTTCATTTATTTCTTATAAAAATTGTAAAAAATTACATGAAACGCATATAATGCTGCGACTAGAGCTAGCTACAGAGTTAAGATGGCATTTGGAAGTTCTTATTGCCAAAAAATTGATAATTGTCTGGGCCAAGCAATTCTCCTCTCTTCCCAAAGGCAATAAAACGGTTTATTCTACCTAAAATGATGTGGAAGCAGATAGTTTTGTAAATATTTCACCATTTGACATTTTCTCGTTATTTTGCCTATGCCTTTTGGGCCCTAGGTTAGTTTACAAGGCTTTTCCTATTTTCCAATATCCAGGAGTCTTACATGGTGATATCTTCAGAGCTAAGGAGCCCAACCTTTAGAGTGGCCTCTGGTTGCTCTTTTAGGGCCACACTATAATCAGGTAGGTTTTCATCAGAAGGCCTTGAGAGCCTCTGCTTAGTAGGCCATTGGGAGGATGCTGGATCCAGTCTTATTTTTTTATTTGCCTAACCATTAAACTGATCGGCTGGGCACTGCTGTTGTGATAATCACAGGAATAGGTGAGACATTATCAGGCAGTTCCCCCTCTTTTTAACACACAAATAGCCACAGTGGTGCTGAATCTAGGTTTGTGCTGTATGTGCTTAGGTTTGTACTGCTATATTAGAGGGGAGAGGTTCCATACACACTTCCTCTTTATTATGAATAAGCTCACAGGCTGCAATGCACTTTCCTGCAGAATTCTAGGGGTAATGCATTGATCCTTTAAGAGCAGAGAGAAAGGATCTAATGCAGCTTATACACCAAGATAGAATGGCTTCCGTTCAGGATCTCTGTGAGCGGCAAAAAGCTGAAAGGCTAATTTCTTCTGCTAACTAGAGTTGGGCTTCAAATAGTATGTTACACCATCATATCTGAGCTGTTACAAAACATGGGAGTACATTATGAATTAATATATCTGTAAAGGGTTTTTTTTATTAGAAAAAAGTTACCAAATATTAACCCTATATTTTCTTGAATCCACATTATACGCTAACCCATAATTTTCCTTGCATTAGTATGTTGATGTAATTAGTTGATATTGCCTAACACGGCCCTCCCCACATTTTAACCATATATTTCAAGGTGCTATTACTATCTAATAGTCTCCTTTTGGGTTTTTGCAGTATTTGTACATTATTTTTTGTACGACTTACAAACACGTTTAAGGTTGAATCTGCTTTTTATTAAAGTTTTTCTTGTTAATAAGAAACACACATATTGCAACAAGAGGGGAGGGCCAGCATAAATATGATACAAAAATTGGTTACAAAAAAGAAGCAGAACGTATGTATCACAGAAGGGTACGAATGGTCACATAACACGTTTTACAGATTTATCTCAATACATCTGTCTATATGTCCAAGTATCTTGGGAACATAGGACAGCAGCCAATGTAGTAAGAATAGTGTTACATAGCATAAGTATAATGATACAAGTATATGAGAACAGAGAAGTGGCCCCAATGTAGACAAATCTAGAACGCATATAAGGAGATGAAGAATTGAAAAGAAGAGCAGAAAAGGAAAGGCGTGGGGCGAGAGGAAGAAAGAAGAGGCTCATGCTGAAGAGAAACACACAAAAAGGGTGACAAACAGGAGGATGATAAATGATAAGACATTACAAAAGCCTAGCCTTCAAGTTGCCAGAAGAAGAAAAATATCCAAACCGCCCACAAACTAAAATTTGTCAAGGCACCGTTCACACTGAGCGATTTATTGCGCGGTAATTCCTCTCCAATGCAATCCAATGGGGCTCTGTCCATCGCTGTCGCGGGTCGTGCATCGCGGGTCGTGCATCGCTACAGCAGGACCCTTTTTGGAGCGGATTTCGCCGCGATTCTAGGTTGCTCAATGCAACCATTTGCGTGATATCGCATGACAAACACACGATATCATGCAAATCGTGCGACAAACGCGGGATTTGCGAATCGCTCAATGTGAATGGGGTCTAAGTCTTGAGTCTACGACTAAAATTCTTCCATACGCATGATGTCATTCATCACGAATCCACAGGGAGAGAAAACAAATTGTTTGTTTTCCAAAAGGTAGGGATAAGTCTATGTGCAGCTGACAGAAAAAAAAAAAGTAAGTATTTTTTCTGTGACGTTCTAGAACCGGGCAATATCTGAGGAGGGATTTAGAGCAGCTCCGGTAGAGTTCATTATACAAGGTAAAAATTTGGTGCCAAAAACAACTTAGGGGCAATCCCACTAGATATAAATAGGTGCCATTTTGCCCAACGCATCTCCAACAGGTAACGGAAGTATCCGGAAACATGCAGTGCAAAGAGACCGGGTCTATGTACCAGCGAGTAATTATTTTGAAATTCTTTTCTTGGGTCTAACACGATATGGAGGCCTTGTGGGTGAAATAAAAGGCAGTGTCCCCAGTCTGTACAAACACGTTTAAATGTTTATTACAAACAAGTTTGATATTTGTTTCACTATCTTCTCTACCTTATTAGACCTTATTCCAACAGAAATATCAGCCACAATATGCTTAATTACTTCAGACCGAAACAAAATATACTGTTTGATATCAAAAACAAGATGACACCCTCTCTATATAAACAAGTCAATTTCCTTGAAACATCACATAAAAGAACCTTAGACAATGAAGTAACTAGATTTTAAAAAGCAAGGAATGCATTTAGAATTTTCTTAGTCAATCCTCTTAAAACATTTTTCATTTTACAAATATAAACATTATTTGGAAGCCAACAAATGTGGTTGATCATTGGGTATAAAACGTATTCATACATCCCTAAGATTAAAAATGGAGATTACCAACTAATTTTCTCATCTGAAGAAATTGGTCTTTAAACCCCTGAAACATATTGGCTGTACTTTACTGTCATTTATGAACCCATTCCATTCTTAAACTTTTTGGACTCTTAATCTTTGGCATTCTCATTGGACTGTACATAGAAATATTGTACAGTCAGTATTAAATCAGTCAAAACAGGACACATTGTAAAAGGAACACACAGATGAGTTTTGTAGAATAAAAAGCTGTGTTCTAAGTGTATACAATATATGACAGAAAAAAGGAAAAACATTTTAGTCCAGACCACCTAGACAGCATCTCAGCTGTTGGAGTAGAACACATTTTAAACTTGACGCAAGGCATGCAGTTTTTTCAGGTCAAATATACACAATAGTGTGTTTGTAACACAATAAAATAGGCAGGAATATTGTGCACATTGCTTTGGTATTATTTTTACCATTTCTCGTGAGACTTATTGTCAAAACCACATGCCCATTATTGACAGCAACAAAATTAAAACCAACAGGTGATTTATACTACACATAGTATACAGGTGAAACGCGAATAATTAGAATATCGTGCAAAAGTTCATTTATTTCAATAATGCAACTTAAAAGGTGAAACTAATCTATGATTATTACATGCAAAGCAAGATAATTCAATTATCGCATGTAGATGTATTATCAAATGAATGTAACTGGAGTTATGGGGATGTGATACATTTTATGGCATGTATGCTCCTGACCATAGGAATGGTGCTACTGTTTAGTCCAATTGTTATACATATGATTTTATACTATTCAGTGTACAATAAACTTTAAATATGTTTTTAACCCCTTCATGACTGAGGCCCTTTTTTCCATTTTTGCACCCATGTTATATTCCACAACCCTGCAGTGGTTGTTTACCTCTCTTCAAACCCCTGTTTTCTACTTGTAGCAATTAATTATAATTTAAGGGGGAGAGGTTGTATCAGGAGACCGCTGTGATAGCAATACACGGGTGTGTTCTTATAGCTCTGACATATACCGCAGTGCTGTACAGAAAACACTGAGCCAGTCACATCAGTCTCTGTACAGAGGAGCTTACACTCTAATGTCCCCCCACAGTCACACACTATAATTATGCATATACTGTGTAATATATATATATATATAATATAATATCCTTGTGAATGAGTAAGGGGTAGTTGTCCTTTATTGATAAACCCCCCTTAAAAACAATGTCCCACGATGTAAATCCATTGTCAATCACGCTGTCCAGCGATGTAGATCCTCGTCAACCATGATGCTCGGTGACCCGATGAATGACAAAGAAAAAGCCCGCCACCTTGTCCGCTTTACACAAACACCGTTAATGACAGTGAATGTAAAAAAATGGGTGTAGCAAGTCTGTTACGGTAACATTGTGGACTTGCTCCACCCCTTTGTCTACATTCAGGAGCAGAGCTGTCATTCGTGGCTTTTGGGGCTCTTTTGTTTCGGAATGTCAATTAGCACGAAAACAAATGCACCAGTTTCATACACACTTATCACCAATAACATTATGACCACC